AATTTTGCGAACGGAGCTGTTCGTGAACCAAATTGGTCGTGAACAGAAGCGTTCGTGACCCGAGGTACCACTATATTTACTTACTAAGTTAAAGCAAGTCTGCAAAATGTAAACATTAAAATGCACAATTAATACAGCCAAGTGTTATAAATTCCAATCAGATAGCAAGTAATGTGGGGTGGATTGGGGCGGGGGGGGGAAGAGATGTAGAAAGAATTGCAAAAGAGTGAAATACCCAACACCCAATCTCTCTCTTCTGCATCTGCAAAATGCTGCTCGTCGGCGCTCCTCTCCTGCCCTGGTGCCTCCACGCCTGAGCTGGCAAAGGCAAAGGAGTATTCCCAGGAGTCATTCCCAGGCCCACCCTGAGGATCACTCAATTCAGGATTTTGTGGTGCCAATAACAATCAGACTGGAAGTCTGGGCATTTTTTTTATCCGCTCTATTTATGTGGAAGGACAGCCTGACTTACTTCCGATAAGCTCTTGGCAATTACTTGGACCCACATATAGCAAAAAGAGCCTTTCGCTTCCTGTTGGAGAGCAGTTAGGCATATCTGGGACCCCCGGGACACAAACCGGATTTTGATGCTGACTCTCATGAATATTCATGGAGGACCCTACTTTAAAAATAGGTGGTAAGATGTTCTACTGGAAAGTTTGGGCAGAGTCTAGAATAATAACTTTAAATCAATTACTCGGCAATGATTATTCTAAGACATTTCAACAACTTCAGATAGACTTTATTTTTTTTTGCCTAATACACAACCATGGAAATATAATAAACTCAGGCATGTTTTGAGAGTTCAATATGGACCAGATGCTTTAGCTACATCTGAAGAAACCTTAGATGCTCTCATTTTTTATGGAGTCTGCTTACAAGATCAAACTGATTTTGTATCTATATCACAAACTTAAAAGCATCTTTAAAGTTGAAATTACTGACATTTACAATGAATGGAATAAAGATTTGGAATATCCAATAAAGGAACATCAATGGACCCAAATCTTTAAAATTGTTAAATTTGTTTCTTTGGACTTGAACTTGAAATTAATGCATTAAAAGATTTTGTTCAGAGTTTACTGGACACCTCAAAGAATGCATCTGAAAGGAAGGACTGTAGACTTTCTTTGTTGCTGATCTAAGAAATTTAAGAATACATTAAACCCATATGATTTGGTCTTGCCTGTTACTGGTTCCTTTTTGGAATAAAATAGATAAATATAAATAAAATAAAATGTGTAAATAGATTTATGGATGGTTTCATGTTAAAAATGTGAATATTTTTGTTTATATCCCCAAATTGTAGAATTTGAAGAACTTTGGTTATGCAGGGCATGGGGAATAGCTAAGAGAATAATACTGAGAATGGAAATGTACCACCACTCTGGACATCAAGGACTGTATTCAAGAAATGTGTGATTTATCCGTTTTTGAAAAGGCTGTATTTTATGACACCCCTGGTCAGGCAGCATCTGCAGGGATGAGCCAACAGCTTGTTCATTTTAAGGAATACATTTTAGCTTGAGGATCTGACAAGCTGCCGAGGGAAGGGAAGCCTGCTTCCTGACCCCATCCTGACCAACGGCTTGGATTGCATGAGTGATGGAGAACATGCCTCGATGGCCACCGACACAGCCACCCACAGAGGTCCCTTCCCCCTCCCACCAGGAGTCCCCTGCTTTACCTGCAGTATGCCAGGTGGTCCCTGAGGTCAAACGATCCCTTTCAAGCAAGACCACGTTTGTCACACCCATCTTGGCAAGGTGGTAGACTGTTTGGCATCCGAGGCTACCTCCACCCACTACCACCACATCTGCGGAGGCAGGGAGGGGCTTCGTGGGCCCTTGAGGCAGGGGGTGGCCGTCTTCCTTCAGTGTCTTCTGGTACGGGACGTTCTTCTCTGTGGTCTGGCCAGCACTGCTACTGAGGAACCGGAGCCGTCGTCCAGGGCGGGTGAGTTGGAGAGCTGCTGCTGCTTGGAACGCACGCCTCAGGTGGGCCATGGCCATCTGAAAAGAGAGAGGACATCAACGCCATGCAGCCACCCACAACGCCAGAGGGCAAAGAATACCCCTGGGGACAACCAAGCACCTGTGAAGCCCCCATGAGAACTGGACACTGTCTTCGCCAGGACAACTATTCTCCTCCACATAATCCAAGTTAGCAAGGCAGGACCTCTCTGCCTCAGCCTGATGGAGCCACCACCTTGATTTTCCTGCTTTGTTTGTGGCTAGAGAATGCTGGAGCAGCACAAGGCAAGAGAAGAGCAAGAGAGGGGCGTCCGCTGTGCCCATGCAAGGATGCACAGCTGTCTGTGATCCAAAAATGGTGCCACAGAATCTTCTGCACCTTGGGATGCTCCTCACAGGAGATGGGTGGAGGTGCTCAGAAGAACAACTCACTTTTTTATATCCAAAATTAAAAGACTTATTTTTGGTCTATAATTAAACATTACATTAACATAAAAATAGGAAATTAAACATAAACACTTGTACATGCAGTCCAAATTTGTACAATGCTTATTCAAATCTAGAAAGATAGGCACGTTCCTCAGAGCACAATTTAACTGACAGAGAAGTGGTATCATCCAAACTTGTAGAATCATTTTGGGTGTACGTGTAATTAAAAACTGCTCCTGTATTTTTACCAAGAAAAATATAAAATGGTTGAGGATATAATGCCGGATGATGGGGCCCTCAGGTCAGATGGCAGGAACTGCTGAGGAAGATCTGAGGATCTTCTGGATGTTTTGGGCCGATGCGGAAAAAAGATCTACAAAAGGAGGGAGAGGCCTGGATGTGCTGTGGCTCCCTAGTGACCGCTGCTGGCCGGATAGGATAGCCGTTAGATTGTTAGATAGAATTGAAATTGCTTAATTGTATGTGTTGTACTTTGTGAGCCACCCAGAGTTCCCCATTGGGGGGAGATGGGGGGAGAATAAGTCCAGTGTATGTATGTATGTATGTATGTATAAATAAATAAATAAATAAATAAAATGTGTTTATAGATGTCTCGTTGTTGATGTTGCCATGCAGGAAAAGAAAATCGGAAGCTGCAAAGGCAGAATTACAGTGGGAACATGGAAGGTAAGAAACAGGAATACGGGAAAGCTCAACTCAGTGAAAGGTGAAATGAATCGACTACAGACTGACATCTCAGGCATCAACGGATTGGGATGGATTGGGATCGGACGCTTTTGATCAGAAGATCACACCATTTATTACTCAGGACATGAGACACAAAAAGGGAACAGCATTGCTTCCATAGTTCAGAAGAACAGTACCAGGCTACATTGAAATCACTGACCAAATAATATTGATTAGAACAACCCTTTAAAAAGACAATCATGCAAGTTTATGCTCCAACTGCTGATGCAGTAGGAGAGGAGGTTGATGAGTGTTACGATCAAGTTCAATCTGAAGTCGACAGGACATGCAAGCAAGATGTGCTGCTTATGATTGGAGACCGGAAGACCAAAGTTGGAAACAGGGTATCTGCCCAGCCAATCTGAACTGGCAGGGCTGGCGCACTCCGGGTTCCTTCGATTAAACAATGCCATCTACTGGGACCCCAGAAGTGCACCTTCTCTGTCGCAGCGCCTGCTCTCTGGAATGAGGTTCCCCCTGAGGTTCGAATGAGCCCCACCCTGCTGGCGTTTTGAAGGGCCCCGAAGATGTGGCTCTTTGCCCGGGCCTTTGGCAAGGGTGACCGAAGCCCCCTTTTCTTCTTTTTCTTTCTTCCCATCTGGGCTTGTTATTCTGCCATCTCTACTTTTTTTTGTTGTTGTTGTTTTTATTGTCTTGTTCTTATCTTTTAATCATTTGTAAACCACCCAGAGTTGCTGGGAGTTGGGTGGCATATAAATCTAAATAATAATAATAATGTTGGGTTGTGTGGCTTTAGAAGTCAAAATAAAGCAGGAGACTGACTTATCGATTTCTGCCACTCCAATGATTTCTTCATAGCTAACACTGTCTCCAAACAACCAAAATGGTGCCTCTGTACATGGACATCACCAGATGAAGTATATAGAAATCAAATTTACTATATTACTGCTAAAAGGAGGTGAAGGAGCTCCATTATAGCATCAAAGACATGGCCAGGTGCTGACTGTGGAACAG